GCGGGGTTAGCTTATGCTTGCTGTAATACCTCTTTAGCTCGCAAGATTGGAAATGCCTGAGGCCATGCATTTCTTCATCTACTTCATCCGCCAGGGCGTCCTCAACTGGGCATCTTGCTGCACCAAGACGCCCAATGTTTTGAGCACTAGCGACAAGACGCATGTAGTGGTGATAATGTCAGCACCCTAAATCTAGATGCGCTCCAAATTTTCGAAGGCACACTTCTACATCATGGACGAGTTCGGGGTTCCAGCCCTTGAGGTTCGTCAGACTTTGGGGGTACACTGGGACAGCTTCACCGTCAGCCTTCAAGCCTTAAAGCCTTAAAGCCTTCATCCTGAACCCAGCACGAACTGGTCTGCCCTTGGTGAGCACGTAAATGTGCAAGCCTTACATGCTTGAACCCTCCCTCGGCCTTGCAGTTGCGACAGGCCACCGCGCGTGTTAGCGGCTTTGAGCTTGGAGGCTCCGAGGGTGTGGCAGTTAGGGCTTTGGGTGTAACCTGGAGGCCCTGTAAGCTTGAGGGCGAGACTTCAGCTTTCGAAAATGTTGCAGCTTCAGTTGTAGAGCTTCAGATCTCTTGGGTATCTAGATTTTGCTGCGATGAGTCAAGGCTAGGCCCCGGTGGTTCAAGGTTGAGGCGTGTGGCTTGAGATTTTTGGGATTCTGGTCCAGGGCGCAAAGTTCAGGCTTTGAGGGCGTGAGGAGTGCGGCTTCAGGGCTTAATAACGAATTTCGCATGAACAAACCGAACAAAAGAAAGGAATACGGAGCACACTTCATCCACTGAATTCTTTTCCTTCATTATGTATTAAATTCGTTCAACAAGCCCAAGATACGCCGATCACAGGACTGGGAGCATGAAGATATCCCCAGGTAACCATCCTTACAGTTGATGATAGAGATCTTTTTCCAACACCTTCTCCATGTGTATAACATTTCCTAAACCGAAACCTGCAATCTTGTCTCTAAGCTTCCCTAGCACCGGCGAATGACAAGGGAACCTAAGCTGTCAGGCTTCAACGTGAGGGTCAAGCTGCCCCCTTGCCCCCCAAACCCAAAGTTATACAGACATGGCCCAGGGAACCCAATGGTATCAAGTGGATTTGACCAGGCTTGCTGGGATGCATTGTATCCGGCCAGGCCTGCGGATGATGCAATGGTGATGTTAAAATAGAAGCTACGACTAGAGCATTGTTTCATCATGGTCATCAGCTTCGTTGATAGAATAACACTTTGTGATGAGCATGACCAAGAAGCATTTTCTTACTTGCTAGTTTCTTCTCATCATCATGTCACTGTGCCACCCCACAAGCGCTGTCTTGCTGCTAATGCTACTCGTTTGAATTTGATTTTGATTGCTGCGATGATTTCCTGGGGCACTGCACTAGGTTGTCGACCCAAACTTCAAACGCTCACAACACTTTTTTGGGGGCTCAGTTCAAAAACGCAAGGTTGTCTGTAGAGGGCTGCGAGGGTGAGGGGAGGTGCGGAAGGAGCATGGAAGTGTGCGAGTTTCTTAGGCCACTGCAAAACAAGGTGAGCTGTGTAGAAGTGCGCCACAATCGGGCACAGGGGTGTTGGTTGAAGTTACGATTGCTTGTCTAGCGTTTCGCGCAGTTCTGCTGCAGGAAGCAGTATACCGAAATCTAACTTACCATCGGCCCCAGCCTCTAACTTACCATCGGCCCCAGCCTCTCTGCTGTTGGGGAATTGTCGCGGAGGATCTCGCGTTAACGAACGGTAAGTGACTAAGCAACGTCCACAAGAATAGAGACACCTCCAAGAACCGCTGTAAGCTCTTGGACTCTTGGCCTGAAGCTAAAGATACAACCCCGCAGCCTCACAGCCTAATTGTTTCCCGTTGATGCATTTCCTGGGGAGCCTGGGAAAAGGGAGGGGTCATGTATCTGGGGCCTCTGTTTGAACCGCCGTTGGCAAGGCTCATGTAAAGCAGCAGTAAATGGCAGTAGTTCGGGAGTAAGGGTGCGTTTGACATGTTGACGAGCAAGCTTGGCGTGTGGAACGACGATGAAGCACCCACCGCAGGTCTCCAGATCTCAAGAGGAGGGTTTCTACCTCTTCCTCCACTCCATCTTTGGCGATATGGTTTAGGGCAAAACATTTTTCGGTCATGAAAGCTTTAGCGCTTTTGGCTGGAAGGTAATCGGTTTATGGGTAGAGTGGTTTAACGAATAGGGTAGAGTTCACGAGATTACGGCTTCAGGCTGGTCCCAATGATAAGTCGCTCGTGTTAAAGTACCGGATCTGCCAGTGTTATGGTGACAATTTTCTGTTGAGTCCTTTTTTCCTGGTGTCTTTGATCCTTTGGTCCTGTGGTCAGCAAACGCTGCAATTTGCAGCATTTGAGACATTCCAAGTCCAGCAGACACTGTAATTTACAGCGTTTGAAGCGTTCCAAGACTGAAAAGGAGCAAGCCGCACCTTTGCAAAAAAAAAGCCGAGCCACACCTTTGGTTCCCAGGAACTCACAGACGAATTCCTGGAACTTTCTTTGTAACCCCTAAACCTCATCCCGTGCAGGTTTCTGACTGGCTGATTAGCCGTTACCCTCAGCGAGGGGCAGCTGGTTTGCGGGCCCAGGCGCGAAATGCAGTGGAAAGCCTTTACCGTTCATGGCTTCAATGGGCATTACAGCGGAGCGGGGAGACTTCTCAATCTTTGCGCTTATTTAGCTCTCGCCCGCACCTTGCATTTCATAGTCTGCATGCCTGCGGTCGAGGATTGATGGTGGCAAAGCATTGAGGCATGTTGAGACGACAATGATGCGAATGATGACGAACGACAGTAGCATAAGTCCTGGCTCAATCGCTGCCTTTTTTGAAAGCAGTGGTGGGCGGAATGGAAGGTCATATGTAGGCAGGCGACTTGAGGTAGATGTCAACTGTTGATTGCAAAGGAAGGAAAACAGATAGGATTGTAATTCCTGTTGCAGGGGATATGTTGCAGACAGGATTGAAACTCTATATCAGCAGTCCAGCTGTGCTAAGGTCAGGAGCTTCGCTAATTCTAAACATCAACGTGCGAAGCCAGGGCTGCTCAAGTGGGCACATGCATCCTTAACAAAGTGCTTCACAGGACGGAAGCCTTTACTGAACTTTACTGAGGACAACCCCTAAAAGAACCAGCAGCAGCAGTGTTTTGATTTTCTGTACCAGGAAGATGTGATTGTCTAGCGTTAGCAACAGGATGTCGGAAACGTAACGAGTGTTTTTTTTTGCTCCGCATGTTTTTTTTTGTTCTGCGTGTTTT